CAACAAGCAAGTCAGGAGACCATTGAAAAGTTTAATCAAGAGAACCAGGCAAAGGGAAGGCTATGAAGAGCTCTCCTGAAGTCAAAGACTCCCTCGAAGACTAAAGCAGCCCAACTCAAATTGGATCAGACAGTGGAGCAATTTACACCCAGGGTGTTGTCTAAAGTGATAGAGCAATAGTCGAGCAAGTGACACGGCGGTTAAACACTCAGCTGCTAATGGGAAGGTAGGCAATTCAATCCCACCATCCAGCCCACAGAAGAAGGATATGGCAGTCTAACCCCCACAAAAATGTTTGGCCCTGGAAACGCTCCGGGGCAGTTTACTCTGTCCCATAGGATTGTTGTGAGTCAGACTTTGATTCAACAGCAATGAGTTCAATTGGAGTTCCACAGTTGGTTAAGATACCAATAAAGGCACACCAGTCAGAGGCTTAACAAGGAGACCAGGGAAAGACTGGAGAAATCCAGCTAGAGCAGACAGTCATCCCTTAGGAGGAGAGACTTGGCGACTGTAGACTGTAGTAACAAAGACATCATGAGCTAGTCCAATCAAATCACTAAACTAATAAACAAGCAACAAACTCCCCAAAGTGGTGGGGTGTCAACACTCAGAGTTGCTACAAAACATTGCTCAAATGCTCAGCTTTCTGCAAAAAATTTGGAGACAGGCAAAGAAACAGGAAGTGAGTCCCATACACAGAAAGGAGGAGGGTGGGAAGCAGAAAAGAAAAGGTGGGTTTGAGGGCCTAGTGACAATGGACTTATCAAAGAAAGATTTCAAAACAGCTGTTCTATACATGGTCAAAGACTTAACGAGACCATGCAGAAAGAGTTAGTTAGGAGATGACACTGTCTCATCAAATAGAAAATGTCAACAAAGAGATACAAATTTCTAAAAAGAATTAAAAGGAAATTCTCGAACTGAAAAGTACAACAACTGAAAAGAAATATTCACTAGAGGGGCTCAGTGATGGTTCTGGGCTGGCAGAAAAAAGGATCAGCAAACGTAAAAACGGGTCAGTAGAAATTATGTAACCTGAAGAACAAAATAGAATTAAGAAAAATAAATGGCGCCTCATAGAAATATGAGACAAAATTAACTGTCTCAACATATTTATAATTAGGGTACCTGAAGGAGAGAAGAGAGAGAAAGAAATAGAAAAAAATACTCAAAGAAATAATAACAAAGTTATTATTTCCTGGATTTGATTAAAATATTAATCTAGACATCCAAGAACTTCAACAAACTCCAAGTAGGATAAACCAAAGAGATACACACTCAGGCACATCATAGTCAAAATGTCAAAAGCCAAATAAAAAGACAAAGTCTTGAAACCAACGAGAGAAAAATGACTTATCACTTACAAGGAAACCCCAGTAAGATTTACAGCTGACTTCTCATCAGAAACAATGGAGTCCAGAAGGCAGTGGGATAACATTTTCAAAGTGCTGAAAAGAAAAAAAACCGTCAACCAAGATTCTTACATCTAGCAAAACTCTTTAAAAAATGAATGCAAAATAAGGCTATTCCCAGAGAAGCAAGAATTGGGAGAACTTATTGCTAACAGACCTACCTTACAGAAAGTAATAAAGTAGTTTTTCATGAAGGAAGTCAGTGACACCAAACAGTAATTCAAATCCACATGAAAACAAGACAGAACATAAGTGCTGGTAATTACAGAACAGAATAGAAAAGTCCATATCTCTTCCCTTAACTGATTTAAACAACAATTGCCTAAAACACTATTATTGTCAGGCCTGAAACATACACAAACGCTATGTATTTGAAGCAACAGAGGAGGTAGGTGGGTACTAAGCCGCACTGGAATAAATGACAAGTGATTCACAGAAAGTAATGAAGATAGCCAGAACTGGTAAATAAGGTTAGCGTAACAAACTATAAATATATGGGGTTGTATAAAAAATCTGTACAAAATTTTCGTTATCTTTTCATTCCATTTTTTCCCAAACATTTTGAAGGACCCTCATATAATTGCTAGCCTTCTGTCTTTCCAATTTTATAGAAGCCATAAAATTATAAAAAGTAGTAATTATCATTGTGTGATAGTAGATTTGTAACATACATAGACATAACATGTATAATAATGTAAGAATTAGAAATCAGTAACAAAAGGAAATTTTAGAAACACATTAACATTGAAATATTTTATTCCTAAATAAAAAATGACTCAATGCACAAATGTCAAGGAAAACTAGATAATACTTTGAAATGAATGACAACCAAAACACACTACACCAAAACGTATAGGATGCAACTACAGCAGAGCTTAGAGAGAAAGTATGGCTGCAAACACCAATGTTTAAAAAAACATATCTCTGGTCATTAAACTAGCCTTCCACTTCCAGAAAATAGAGAAATAGCAGCACACTAAACCCGAAGAAAAGCAGAAGAAAGAAATAACAGAGCAAAATAAATAAAATAAAGAAAACAATAGAGAAAATCAGGCAAATCAAAAGTTGGTTCTCTGAAAGCATCAACAAAATTGATAAACCATTAGCTAGACTAATAAGAGGAGTCCTGGTGTGGCTTTGTGGGATAATGCGCTAGACTGAAAAGTCAGTTTGAACCAAAAAGTCGGTGGTTCAAGCTCACAAGCTGCTCCATGGAAAGCCTATACAGGTCGCTATGGGTCGGAACAACAACAACAGACTAATAAGAAGCATGGCTGATAAAGACAAAAAGCCTCAAATTACTAAAATCAAAAATGAAATCAGGGCCATCATTACTAACCTTACATAAAATGAAAGGAATTATAAGGGAATTCTACAATTATATGCCAGCAAATTAGGTAACTTAGATTAGAAAGGCAAATTGCTAGGAAGACAAACACCAAAACTTACTCAAGAAGAAACAAAGTGTCTGAATGGACCTCTGAGAAGTAAAGATACGGAGTTAACAATAATAATAATAAATGTATAGCAAAGAAAAGACCATCAAATTCTACCAAATATTTAAAGAAGAATTTGTATCAATACTTCACAAATTCTTGCCAACTCATCTTACAAAGCCAATATTATCATAATATTAAACTTAGACAAAGACATCATAGATCAATACAGATCAATACCTCTTATGAATACAGACACAAAAATCATCAACAAAATCCTAGCAAACATAATCCAGCAACATATAAAAAGGGTTATGCACCATGGCCCAGTAGACCTTGTTCCCAAGAATGTAAACTTGGCTCAATAAGTGAAATCAAGCAAAGTAATAGACCATAATTGTTGTTGGTGTTGTTAGGTGCCATCAAGTCGGTACCGACTCATAGCGACCCTATGCACAACAGAACGAAACACTGCCCGGTCCTGGGCCAACCTCACAATTGTTGCCACGCTTGAGCCCACTGATGCTGCCATTTTGCCAACCCATCTCGCTGGGGGTCTTCCTCTTTTTCTCTGACCTTCCACCTTACCAAACATGATATCCTTCTCCAGTGACTGGTCCCTCCTGACACTATGTCCGAAGTACAAGAGACGAAGTTTGGCCATCCTGGCCTCCAAGGAACACTCTGACTGCACTTCTTCCAACACAGATCTGTTGGTTCTTTTGGCATATCATGGCACTTTCAATATATTCATCCAAAACTCAAAAGCATCAACTCTTCTATGGTCTTTCTTATTCACTGTCCAGCTTTCGCATGCATATGAGGTTAATGAAAATACCATGGCTTGGATCAGGAACATCTTAGTCCTCAGCTGACATTTTTGCTCTTCAACACTTTAAAAATGTCTTGTGCAGCAGATTTGCCTAATGCAATAATATGTCGTTTGATTTCTTGACTGCTGCTTCCATGGAGTGCTGATGGTTGATTTGAGCAAAACGAAGTCTTTGACAACTTTAATCTTTTCTCTGTTTATATGGATGTTGGTTACTGGTCCAGTGGTGAGGATTTTTGTCTTCTTTACATTGAGGTGCACTCCATACCAAAAGCTGTGGTCTTTGATCTCCATTAGTAAGTAGTTTACGTCCTTTTCAGTTTCAGCAAGGAAGGTTGTAGCATCTGTATATCAGAGTTTGTTAATGAGTCTTCCGCCAATCCTGATGCCACCTTCTTCTTCATATTATCCAGCTTCTCGGTTTATGTGCATGTATTGAAAATTCACAGTTAACATCACAATTCATATCAAAATGTCTAAATGTGTTTCTCCTCCTAAGATCACCAACAATTCAGAGATGCCCACCTTCACCACTTCTGGTCAATGGCTGTGTGCCGTGGAGTCGGGTCTGACTCATAGCCACCCTGTACAGGGTTTCTGAGGCTGTAGATCTTTACGGGAGCAGAACGCCTCATCTTTCTCCCATGGAACAGCTGGTAGTTTCGAACTGCTAGCCTTGCGGTTCACAGCCCGTTTCGTAACCACTACGCTACCAGAGCTCCTTATCTGGTCAATACTGCACTAAAATTTCTAGCCAGGGTAATTAAGCAAGAAGAAAAAGAAAAGAAAAAAGCTTCCAGATTGAAAAAGAACGAGTAAAACTATCTCTATTCTCAGATGACAAAACCTTGTAAAAGATATCCTAAGGAATCTACTAAAAGGCTATCAGAATAAACAAGTTCAGCAAGATTGTAAAATACAAGATCAATATTGAAGATCCAATTGTACTTCTACAAAGCAGGAATGAACAACCCAAAATGAAATCAAGAAAACAATTCCATTTACAATAGCATCAAAAAGAATCAGTTATTTTGGAATAAATTCAAAAGTGGCGAAACCTGTAATCTGAAAACTACTCACACACACACACACACACACACAAGGAAAAGGAGGTTTCTGGAACTACATCATGCTGGAACAGAGTGAGCAAGGCTGTGAGCTGTTAGTCACTAAACACACTGCGCGCCACGGGGCTGTGAAGACGTGCATGCAGGGGCTCAGGCAGGCACGTGGCAGCGGCACGGGAGAAGGAGCAGAGCTGAAGACGATGAAATGGACCATGTTCTGAGTGGAAGCCTCATGCAATGTGGTACATACCCAGGTAGGACCGCCTGAGGGGGGCTCTGAGCTCTTCATCCTTACTATCTGCAGGTACATTAAAAAGACAGAGAAACAGAAAGGAAGAGGAGAAAAGACAAAAACAGACTGGTTTTTAACACTGATAAGCAACTGTGTTTTCCAGATGTTTCCGATTTCTTTGTTTTTTTTTTTTTAAAAAAAAAAAAAAAACACCTTCACACAGAAAGACCACATGGTTTTGGTTTCTGTGCACTGAAAAACTCACTTTCTCAACTGTTTCTCTCCAAAACTAGTATTAATAGAAAGTGCACCACTACAGAAGGAGAACATTTGGAGCCAAAGTGACAAGAGCTGTTGTATTGCATTTCACGTCTAAGGCACGGGGCTAACTTCGGCCATGCTGACAAGGAGCACCACAAACCCCGAGGCACCTTGCCCCAGGAACCTGCTGCCATACTTCCCACTCTTCATCCCTGGATGCTTTTACCACATCACTGTGCCTCTCTGCCCCAGGGTCAGAAAGGACCCAAGCAGAAGGCTGCCCATAAAGCTCTTTTCAGAGCACATGTAATGAGGAAGTGTCCATGGAAAGGGGAAGGAATGCACATGACTCTGGCAACCACCAAGTCCCCAACTTCAGAGCCCAGCAGGACCAGCCCCAAAGCACCAGAACATTCTTGACTTGGATTAATTCTGAGCACCCGTCTCAAAGGGACAGAATGCAGCTAAAAACGAAGCATGAGATTCGTTCGGAGGCAACAAAAGCAGCTAAAGGGTTAAAGGTTGTGTGTCAGCTGCCCCAGGCAGTGTAGATCCAACCTTCACAAGCCAACAACTGAGAGTCAACACTACACAAAGATCAGCCCTGGACTGTCTGTCAGCAGTTCCCTCCAGAACTACACCACCACACCAGGGTGTTCCCACAGGCCTGCACACTTGCTACACATGGCATTGTATCAGCTAGCTTACTATTTCAAATCAAGTCACACAACCTGCTCTCATGACTCCAAGCCTGAGGGCAGGTTACAAATTGTCCTCTCAGCCTTTCCTCCCTAAGGGCCTGCTCCCCACATTATGAGGTCACATCCACAAAGGGGAGGGAGAGCAGGGCCGGAAGCCATCAAAGTCCAAGTCAAAATTTAAGCAGAATTGTATGAACACAAGCAGCCTCCTGACAGGTTCAAAAATGCTGCTTCCTGGGCTAGATCAGATTGTGGTGTAGCAAGCGTCATCTCTGGTATCCCAACAGGGAGGGACAAAACAAGATACACAGAGGGAACAGGAAAGGGTATGGATTGGGGGAACACAACAGAAACACACCAGAGAGTAGTCACAGAAATCTTCGCAGCTTTAATGACATTGGACACCTCACATTGGTACCAGGTACTCAGCAGCGGCTGAAACGGCATACATTCCTCTCACCCTAAAATCAGAAGCACGCGATTGTCACAACTGCAGAAAATGTGTAACTAAAAGGAGGGAGTCTCTCATTTCAGGAACACATGGTCCCATGATCATCGAGAAGGAAGAGCGTGATGCAGCGTGAGATCCCTTCCTAGAGCTGGTGGGCAGGAAGCTGGCTGGCAGCATGTGTCCTTTGGACATTTAAATGACTATATATATTTTTGTTTTGTAAATGCCCATCGATATTGTTGCCTTGTTCATTGGTGTACTGTAAGTTGTAAGGGGGGAGCCATAAGGAAGAAGTAGGATAAATGTTGTTGCAGGGAGGGGATTGTCGTCACTGAGATGAAACAGGGTTCATAGTTTGCTGAATGGAGAGCTGATGGTCTTGTCTTAAACCTTCACCCAATTCACACAAAAAAAGTTAAAAATAATAATAATTAAGCATGCACAAGGGGAAAGAATCCTTTCAGGTGGAGAGTAAATCATGATCAAGAATGCAAAACTCCTCAGCAAGATTTGAAATGCACAGATGCCCCCCAAAAAACAAACTCTAGGGAGGGAACAGCTGAGATTAAAACACAGCCCCCTCCCCAAATCTCAGACAAAGTCAAGAAGAAAGCTCTCTTGGATGCCATGCACAGAAGATATTCACTGGCGATTGGTTCAAACACAGAATGTTACACTAGGCAGAGCTGCAACCAAAAAGTCAGAGACACGTTCCAGAAAATATGGAAACCTTGATCTTGTGTAACTTTGAACATATATTTCACCAAGTATGTGAGAAAGACTCCAGTTTGCTAAGCCTTGTGGGTACAAGAGAATGTAAAAGCCATATACACTCTTTCTCCAACATGATCAAGATGAAACACAAGCAGAAAAGAAATATGCCCTTCTTACCCTAATTAAGAGTTTGCATGTGACTGTAATTACTAATAAAGAAGTATACATTTAAGATTAGTTAATAACTTACCCAGGCAAAATAACTTATGCATGTGAAAGCTGGACAGTGAATAAGGAAGATTGTAGAAGAATTGATGCATTTGAGTTATGGTGCTGGAGGAGAATATTAAAAGTCCCATGGACTGCCAAAAGAACCAACAGATCTGTGTAGTAAGAAGTGCAGCCAGAGTGCTCCTTGGAGGCCAGGATGGCCGGATTTTGTCTTATCCTTTGGACATGTTATCAGGAGGGGCCAGTCACTGGAGAAGGATATCATGTTTGGTAAAGTGGAAGGTTGGAGAAAAAGAGGAAGACTCCCAATGAGATGGAATGGTACAGTGGTGGAAGCGATGGGCTCAGGTGTAGTTACGATTGTGAGGTTGGCCCAGGACCGGGCAGTGTTTCCTTCTGTTATGCATAGGGTCATTATGAGTCGGTACTGACTTGATGGCACCTAACAACAACCACAAAATAACTTACCCAAATTACAGTAACAAAACTATTATCTCGACTATATTATAAAATTTGCAATTAAAGTAATTTAACCTTGGACCACAGTCTAAGGGACAGCTAAGTCCACTGGTATACGGTTCACAAAGACAATGTTCTACCCTCTACTGTAATGAGCGGTGACTGGGGTCTTAAAAGCTAGTGAGCAGCCATCTAAAATGCAAGTATTGGTTTCTCCCCATTCAGAGGGAAGAAAAGTTATGAAAATCAAAGACCCAAGTAAATAATTAGCCAGAAGACAAGTGGACCATGTGAACCACTGCCTCCACTGCCCTTAGATGAGAGGAACTTGATAGTGTCCAGCTACAAGTACTGACGGCTCTAGTCTGATGAGGACAGCAGGTGCTGGACAGAGTGGGAGAAAACAGAGAACAAAATTCAAAATCATGAAACAGACCAGACTGAGGGCTCTGATAGAAACTGGTGGCCTTTACAAACCTTTCCAACCTGGAAGTGAGCCAGGTAACAGACAGGTCTACAAAGTGAACAATAATACTCCTCAGAACCATCAATCACGAGACCAACAGGGCAGCAGGTGCCCAAAAACACACAGCTGAGAATTCAGGGAGGAAGGAGGAAGAGTGCCATTGCATTGAACGGATTGCAGTTAATGTTCCGAAATAACATGTGTTTAAATGATTCAATGGAAAAGGAATTTGCTCTATATACTTTCACCCAAAACACAATAAAAATAAATGAAAACACTCTGACCTCCTGAGACCCTTATCGGCTCGAGATAACAGGACCATTAGGTGAAATGAAAGCTGCTTAGCTAAGAGGTGAAACAGGCGCCATCTCACTTGCAAAACTATGACCGCGTTCACCCACCTGCAAAGGAGCGGCGTTTGAGGTTCAGCTCGTTGGCCACCCGTACCTGGGTGCAGACTCTCAGCATCAGCAGCATGGCCAAGATCATGATTATGCTCTGCCACAGGAGAGGAGATTCAAACTGTCTTCCGAACCTGGGGAGGAAGGAAGAGACAGAGCATCAGAGGATCCAGCGCCCCTGCTTCCCCAGGGTGCAGTCCCCCAAGCAAGAACATCTAGATAAAAGTGAGTGAGTCTCCAAGAGGCCAGCAGGGACTCTTCCCACCAACTTCTGGACTAAGGCTCACCACTTAGAATTCTGGCCATTTTGCACAGATAACCACTTCTGTATTTTTTTTAATTCAAAGGAAGCAAAAAAATAACTTGAGGCAAAATAGCAAGGTTTGGGTTTCCCTGATGCCACAGGCAAAAGTCAAACCCAGATGTATCCAAAGTTTACAATACAGCGTGAGCCACTGAAAGCAGCAAGCAAGCATGGGAAACACAGGTAAATAGTTAACCAACTTCAGGATGGAGATGGGCAAGTTCAAGATTTCAAAGGGCATGGGTTTCCCAAAAGATAAACAACGGATAAAATAACTACGAAACCAAGTTCAGCGTCATGAGTACTTTTAAAAATCCATTTTGAATAGAAAGACACCTCCCCTCCTTCTACTTATCAAGTGATTTCATTTCTTTCCAGTGTCACCCGTCTAGGTGGAGGGCTGGGCCGTGCCGTCTCATTGGGAGTCTTCCTCTTTTTCTCCAACCCTAACATAGCTCCTCCCAGAGCCCAGGTGCCCATGCTATCAGATGCAGGTGTGGACCCACAGGGAGGTAAGCACACTGGCACTGTTGAGTCAGGTCCCCGTTTCTCTTCATAAGTTTCTAGATAAGCCAGCGCATTCCTATGTCTCCAAAGGAGCCACAAGAACACTCAAGTCAAGAACAGATGTGTATCCACTGCCCAGCAACACTCAGATTATCTGCCTTGTAGCAAATGTTACTACCCAGTGCTACTGTGTTTCCATACTTACATTTCTGAGGACTTGCCAGCAAATGTCAAGATGCTGGATAGCTCACATCCTGTTTATGAATGTGGACGTTTGGTTGAGATTCCAGTGAGTGTATATGAGTCTGTGCTGGAAGCCCATCATGCATCCTGTACATCCCCACCTCCCCTACTTAATCAAAAGCCTGTGCACATTAGTCACAAGCCCTTCTCCAGACTTCTGACGCAGTACAGCATGATCTGCGGATGCTAGTTTGCAAAAGGACTTGAGAAACAAAAGGTTCTGGAGTTATATACATTTCAGAGACCCAAGTTAAACAAAGTTAACGCTGACCCAGAGCCTCTCCAATGCTGTGCAGAGCAGAGCTCCCAAAAGGGGGCAGAATGTGGATGTGCCCTAACTCGACTGGAGTCCTGAGGGTCTTAAACCAACTTTGGGAAACACTGCTCAAGAGTTTAAGTCCACCATGTCTGCCACAACCATTTCCCTCTCACCTAGACCCCTGCCACAGCCCCCACCTCCATACTCTCTTTCTTCCATGTCCCAAGACCCCTATAGCATAGGTATCTATGTGTGGGTGGAGAGATGGGTGGATGTGCAGGTGAATGCGTGGGTGGTGAGTGGAAGTAGAGGTGGGTAGGTGAGTGGATGGGTAGATTTGATGGATGGATGGACGGACGGATGAAGGATAATAGCTAGATGGCAGATGGATGAGTGAACAGACAGATGGATGAATGGACGGAATAGTACACACATCCCTTCTGCTGAAGTGTAAAATCTGCAACATCTACAGGGAAGGAGGCTTCCTGTGGAGCCTTTGCTTTGCATAAGACCATAGGTGGGATCCTGAGCCCCACCCAGAATCTTCTGAGGTGGGAAATCTCCACTGGAAAGGATAAGCAGACCAGCCTGGAGCAGCTAGAAGAACAGAAGATACTTCTTGAAAGAAAGACCGACTGGAAAAATACAAAATAACAGCAGTCTGATTGACTACAAGAACACGCAAGCTGTTCGCCCAGGAGCCATCAAGGCAAGCGGTCGGGTCCCCGCAGGGCAAACCCCGTTCCAAGACTAAGACTCAAGGGGAATACATGAGCAGGCATGTGGTCTGGCTGGTGACCACGTTGGTCACTGATAATGGGAAGTGAGGGAAAAACAGCAATGAAATTGTGAGCTAAGTCCGACCTCGTTCAATTGACTCCTGTGAAGTCGGGTTGAGACCTGGTAGGCCAGCAGTATGGCAAGACCGGGGAACTCCTGGGCCCAGAGACAGGGACATGGCCACAGAGGACTAGAGCAGAGAGTGAAGTGTCACCACACTTGACCTGGCTTCAATGGCTGGATGATCAGAACTCGACTGGATGAAGAAAAAAGAGGAAAACAAGAGGAATCCGCTACAATCTGATGAACTTGACCTACACCTATGGATGCAGTAGCTCAAAAGAGGGAACAAATCTTTACAGCGAGGAGCATTCCCACCCCCTCCATACACAGGGTTGACAGGGATGGGCAACTTAGACATTGGTTACCTAAAATGGGTGGCTACAAAGGCAAGAAGTGACTGGCTTACAAGCTTTCAAGAGGGAGCCTAGTTCCAGAGGGTGCGGGGGAAGGTAGAATCTCCACTGAGTGGTTTCCAATCTGTCTGAACAGGACTGATGAAAGGAGATGGGGATAGCACTCATGTGGTACAACAGTGAATAACTGCTATCAGGACTGACAGTGAGTATTGCAAATGTAAAGGTAGACATTTTGTAACAAAAGGAAGGGAGTGGTTGACTTTGCAGTCCAGGAGCAGAGGTCCCTGGGACCGTCAAGGGAGAGGAGAGGAGTGTGGGACCGACCCTACCCAGAGAAGCAGTGATGCCAGAGATGGAGGCAGAGATGATGAGGTGGAGAGATGGAGCGGCTGGGGACTCTGGCCTCAGGAAGGGAGAGGGGCTGTATGCTGACAGCTGGGGGGTGGGGGGGGTGCGATGGGCAGGCTTGCAGGGTGTACCCTTTGGTTGTTTGATGATGCATGGAGGGTATTATTGCAATGAAACAAAATACGATAGGATGAATGTAAAGCTAAAGTTCTTCCATGTAAACTATCACTTAAATCACATTTAAAAAAAAAAAACATACAAAAAACTGCAACATCTAGACCAGTACCTGGTAGATAGAAAATCCTTAAAAAAAAAATCCACTGAATCAAATAGGCTGCTAAACCATGAAGACTGGATGGAACCAGAAAAGGCGCTCCAGAGAGAGGAATACAGACTCATCTGCATTACCCTTCCAGCAAGCGGCGATTGGACTGAGTAGGCTCAGAGGACCTTCATTGCTACAAGGGTCCTAGATGGTGCCCAGCCTTACAGACCAGCATCAAACACTCCACTCTAAGGAGTGAGTCCTGTGTCAGGGAAGGCTGACTGGAAGGGACCTAGCACTGTTAGGATGCTGGTTCCATGTAAGCACCAATGTGGGGCAGGGACCAAAGGCGCTCCAGAATTCCATGTGAGGCTGCCGTCCAACCCCAGGCTTCCTTAGACGATAGGTTTTGGGAGGAAGATCAGAATCCATGATGCAACATCATCTGGCCAGTCACCGCCTAAACCCAGACGCACCACTGAGACCACAGATAAAGTTGTCTTAACTCTCTGACCTTCTCAACCAGACAGTGAGCAATTCTGAGTGATAAACACACTAGAGGCGTCTGAGCAGAACTCCCAAAGTGGGACGTAAGCCAACCTCAGGCCATTCTCCACTGCTTTGGAGAAAATGTATCTCAGAAACCTAGGCAGAGTGCCTCTTCACAGCCTAAGAGTGAGGGCGTGGCTGGGCTCCAGGCCGGAGCTCTCATTCCCCACCTCCACCCTGCCCTCCCCGGTGTGCACACAGTAAACAACATTATCGGTCACAATTACATGCTGGCTCCTCTTACTCAATCACAGGCCTAATTAAGGCCACTTTAGAAGAGGTAGCTGACACTGTCCGGTACCGGCCACTCAGGAAGCTGGGACTCCCACAAAGGGGAAATGGGTGGAGGAAGGGAAGGAAGCGTCAAAGTATGGTTTTCCAGCTAAACAAAATAGTCACCCTCTGTCCGTCCGCCCCCCCCCCCCTTTAGCAGTGGTCTTGGCACAGGGACAAACCCCGGGAGGATACTTAAGAATGTTCTCAGAAGAAAAGGCATTAGGTAAACCTAGCCTTGGCATCCAATGCTCTGGGATTAGGGTTGGAACACTTTAAGATCTCACCAATTCTCAGGCAAAACTAACACAGATCAAAGGATATCAGCAGCTGCCAAGGCCAGGCCTGGACTGAAGCCTGAAGAACTTTAGGGTTTATGAACTTGCATCTGAACGGTGGGAACATCCATCAAAATTTCATCAATTCTATACTTAAAATGGGTGCATTTCAATGAATACACACTAACCTCAATATGGTAGATTTTAAAACTAATTAGTAAAAGTGGAAACAAGCCTTGCCCATCAACAAATGAATGGATAAACAAAATTTGGTCCACCCATGAGGTTGGCCCAGGATCGGGCAGTGTTTCGTTCTGCGGTGCGTAAGGTCACTATGGGTCAGTACCGACTCGATGGTACCTAACAACAACAACACACACAGTGGAATATGACTCAACCGTGAAGAAAAACGGAATCCTGATACACACACAAGTGACCCTTGAAAACATTGTGTAGAGTCAACTGTAAAGGTGGAAGTTTCGTAGCTAAACGGGGTGAGTGGTCGATCTTACAGTCCAGGAGCGGAGGACCCTAGGACCATCAAGGGAAAAGAGCAGGAGCAGAGTGTGGGACCCTACCCAGAGAAGCGGTGATGCCAGAGATGGAGACAGAGAAAATGACATGGAGAGATGGAGCAGCTGGGGACTCTGGACTCATGGAGGGAGAGGGGATGTGTGCTGGTGGCTGGGGGTGGGGGTGTGCCCTTTGGCTATTTGAATGTTTGTATATCCCTGAGAGTTTTGGTGTACATCAAAAAAAAAAAAACAAAAACAAAAAACCCCCGAGGGAATAGAAGCAGATACAGTTGAATGCTGAAACATGCAGGGGATTGTAACATTGCCATGATGTTCCCCCACGTAAACTATCACTCAATTCACAATAAAAACTTTTAAAAAACAACACTGTGCTAACTGAAAAAAGTCAGACATGAAAAAATTAAACTCACTGCCCATCAAGTCGATTGATTCCAACTCATGGAGGCCCCACGTGGTGCAGCAGAACCAAGACCATACTGTTTGTGGCACTGGACCACAAGGGTGGTTTAAACGGCATTTACCACCACCAATGTCTGACAGAAGGAGAGCACAGGCCCTCCTTCCATGGAACTGCTGGTTAAATTCAAACTGCCAACCTTTGCTTAGCAGCCAAGTACAATCTGTTTGTGCTACACAGGGACCTACGTCAGCCACATATGGGCAAACATCGTATGCGCCCATTCTGTGAGGTCTGTCCAACAGACCAATGTTTCCTGGTGGTTCCAGGAGCTGGGGGAGTGGGGGGGATGCTTCAGACAGGCACTAAACTGCTCGTCAGGTGACAAAAAAGGTTTAGAAGTGGACAGCGGTGCTGTAGTACCAAGTGGTGAGTGTAAATAATTGTTGTGAAGTGCCGTCGAGTCGATTCCAGCCCATAGCTCCCCTGTATGGGGTTTCCAAGGAGCAGCTGGTGAGCTTGAACCACCGACCTTGCAGTTCAAATGACTTTGCAGTCTGATGCATTAGCCCACAGCAGCATACCAGGTCACCAAATTAGATGTGTAAAAATGGCAAATTTTTTGTTATATGTATTTTATCACAATGAAATGTAAAAAAAAAAAAAAGAAGAAGATACATGATTATTCAAAAAGGTGACCCAAAAATCAAAAGAAGGTGCACAGAAGCCAAACAGGAGCAGCCTGGTAAGACACATCATAGACATAAGCAAATACCTCGAGATTGTTTCACTGGGCTTGAGGGCTAACCTCGTGGGCACTTCCGTCCATTTTAATAACCTAGCTCATAAAGATAATGTTCTATATCCTAGTTTGGTGAGTAGCATCTGGACTTTTAAAAGGTTGCTAGGGGCCATGTAAGCTACAACTATTGGTCTCTAAGGTAACCACAGCCTTACTACTGCCATAGACTGAACTATGGCCTCCAAAATCTGTATCAGCCTTGACAGCGGTTTGGCAGGTATGTGAGGATCCCCATGATGTGATATGAGGTGATAAACCAGTAAGGATGAAGGGACAGTCCCAGGGGTGTGGCATCAACACTTGTTATCCGACAAGAGATAAAAGGAGAGAGAAGTAAGCAGAGAAGGAGGGCCTAGTACCACCAAGACAGAAGCGCCAGGACTGGAGTGTGTGCTTTGGACTTGGGGCCCAGAGAAAGACACCTGGACATGGGAGCTAAGAAATGCTCGGGATTTGGATTTGTAGCCTCCCAGCCTGAGAGAACACATTTGATGGTTAGAGCTGCATCCATTTGTAGCATTTATGTTACAGAAGTACTAAAGACCCAAGGCATCTCAGGACCAGAAGAGCTAGATGGCACCTGACCACCACTACCAACCACGCTGATCAGGGACAAACCAGAGGGGCCTATATAAAACGGGGAAATGCAAGTCAAAACTCAAATTCCAAAAACAAAGCCAGACTTACTGGACTGGTAGAGACTAGAGGGGCTTGCCCTAGGGAACCTTTAAAACTGGGAAATCAAGCCATTTCTGGTAATCACCTATCAGCCAAAAGACAAAATGGCTCATAAAATAAACAATATTATCCATAAGGGAGCACTACTCTAAACAACCAGGAAAACTGAGCCCTAATGGTCAAATCTGACCCTAGACCAGAGAAGCGAAGGCAAAGAGGAACAAGGAAGCTAGATTAATATAAACAGAACCACCAGAATGGAGCTAAGAGAATGCTGCCACATTAGCCCAAGCCAGTGAACAATATGTGTGGTGGTAGCTGTGTATCATGGAGTCCGTTCCAGGGCACAGTGACCCTGTTCAGGAGTTTCGGAGGCTATAAGTCTTCATGGGAGTAGAAAGCCTCATCTTTCTCCCTCAACGTGCCTCCAGATTCGAACTGCTGACCCTGCAGTTTACAGCCCAACTAGTAAAACCCACTTCACTATCTGGGCTCCTTGAATAATACAGAAATTGCTCAATGGGAGCCTAATCTGATGTGTACCTTTTTCCCCAAAAAACACCATAAATCATTTAAAAGAAAAAACAAAGCAGCAACGCTCACGTCAGTATCTGTCTGAAATCCTCCCATGTCTGTCCTCAGAACAGCTGCGTTGTCAAGGGCCTGTGCTTCCCTTTGTTGTTGTTAAGTGCCGTGGAGTCGGTTCCGACCCATAGCGACCCTGTATGTTGTTGTTGTGATATGCCGTGGAGTCGGTTCCGACTCATAGCGACCCTATACAGGGCTTCCAAGGCTGTAAACTTTTATGGGAGCAAAAAAGCCGCATCTTTCTCCCACAGGACAGCTGATAGTTTGGAACTGCTGATGCTGAGGTTAGCACCCGATTCGTAACCACTACCCTACCAGAGCTCCTTAGCGACTGTGTATAGGAACACAAAAAAGAAACATCCCAGATGTTTGGGCCTTGAAATGCAGCTTTAAGACCACTCTTCACTGTCCACTGAAAATTGCCCCCTCCCCGTTATGGCTTCAGCAACTGTTCCAATGAATTTCAATGTCTTTGTTGTTGAGTGCTATTGAGTTGGTTCGGCTTTATAGTGACCCTAGGGTTTGCCAGGAGCAGCTGGTGAGTTTGACCCACCGACCTTGTAGTGGAGTGCTTATTCTACAGCACCATACTAGGTCCTTGTTGTTGTTGTTGTTGTTAAGTGCCGTGGAGTCGGTTCCGACTCATAGTGACCCTGTAAAGGGTTTCCGAGGTTATAAATCTTTACAGGAGCAGAACGCCTCATTTTTCTCCCGTGGAACAGCTGGTAGTTTCGAAATGCTGACCTTGCGGCTTCGCGACCAGAGCTCCTTAGCAGAAGTAAATAATATAAGGAAGTTGGCCTGAGAGGAGGAAGGAAAGCTAGCCTCAACATAAGTAGTATGCAGAAAGCTGACTTCCTATTAAACACACACACAACCCTAGTAGAACAAAACCAGTCCTGGAGGGGCTAGGGGTCCAGACACCTCCCAGGCAGCCACACAGAGCCTCTGGTTTGTTGTTGTTGGTTTTGGTTTTTTGTTTTGTTTGGGGGGGGGGGGCTTTCTAGAGAGGCCTTACTACCTGGATGCCACTTTCTGTCATTATCATTTGTTCATTTTTGTTGTTGTTTTCCTGTTCACCCCCTACTCCCACCACTGGGAAAAGAATTCTGAGTCTGGGGGCCAACATCACACAGAGAAGTCCCTATGAAGTGAACATGGGGTGTGAGAGGCTGCAATTGAAGACACAGAAATGGAAGGACACTTGAGATTCCTACACTCATCGTTCTGTGGGGAAGAACCTGACCCTGAGGAATCCTGGTGTGGACTGTTAACCCCAAGGTCGGCCGTTCAAACCCACCAGTCCCTAGTAGCTAACTCTGACAATACAACCACCACCAAATCCTGAAGGGGCCCTGGTGGTGGAAACGGTAAGAGCTCAGCTGTTAACTTTTAAGTTGGCTGTTCAAACCCACCCAGCAACTGCTCCAGAGAAAGGCCTGGCGAGCTGAGAGGCTAGGGAACCCTCCGGAGCAGTTCCACTGTGTCACATGGGGTCGCTCTGAGTCGGAATTTACACGCAGCAACCACCTCCTCACCCGGATAAGTGCAGAAGGCAGCCCGCAGGAAGTAGTCACTCCCCACCCACCTCCGGGCGCGCTCACCAGAAGAGGATCCTTAAGATGTTGGCCACCAGCAGCACCAGACACACGTAGGTGGAGAAGCCATCGGCGTTCTGCGTCCTGCGGATGTCCCGGTACTGAGGGATATAGGGCACCACGCCGCCGAAGACCATGGCGCCAGCCGCGCCCCACGACACCAGCTGGTGCAGCGGCTCCAGCAGCCAGTCCATGCCCAGCGCCTCCATCGCGCGCCTGGGCGCCGGCTGCAGGCGCCGCGCACCTGGCCGAGCCCCGCAAGGTACACGTTATTTCCACATGGCCACGCGGACCGACGGATCGCCGCCAACGGGCCTACGGGGAGAAAGTGAGAGCTGAGGACTGGTGACCGCCGTCCGCGCGCCCGCGCGCCAGGAAGCCAGCCCAGGACCCGCCGCGGGCAGAGGCTGCAGCGCGGCGCAGGGGCGCCCGGAGGCCGGCGCCCAGAGCCTTTCTTCGTAGCGCGGAGAGCTGGAAGGGGACGCACCGCGACACGTGAACTTGGGACCCACTGGAGGCTCGGGGTCTGACCGTGCCCAGCGCGCCCTGGACCCCAGCGCACCAGGAACCCTCACCCACGGGCTCCGCTGCAGTCCCGTCTGTCTGTCCGCCGGGGTCAGGCCGCCGCGCGCTGACCGAGCCCCGCCTCGCGTGGCGTCACAAAGCCTAAGCCACTCCCACTCCGAGGAAGCGGACCGGAGCCGCTGGGTCCTAGCGAGCGACGGACTTCAGTGAGGTCCCGGGCCGGGAGGTTCACACAGGGTAAGATCGGGGCCAGATGTTCGCGCAAACCGGTCTTCAGGTGTCCGGGTGCGGGGCTGTCCAAATGCGTCCACCTGGAGCAAAGGACCAAGTCGGAGGCACCTTCCTAGCCCGCAATCAGCTGCAAGTTGGGGCTGTAGCCTTAAGCGCCCAGCCGTCCCCTCGAGGGTCATCCCCACTGCCGGGCAGCGGGGCCCGGGAGGTCCAGCGGGTACAAGTCCCCCTTGTTGCGGAGCGCTGTTGGCTAGAGTCGTGAGGGACCGGCCTCAGAATGTGTCCACGCCCGGCCCGCCAGGGGCAGATTACCCAATAAACCAGGTAAGCATGGGCTTACTTTACCGAATCTTAGTGAGCATTTCCCATGTTTTTCACATTTGAAGAGGTTTCGATTCTTCTATAGGGTTGGGAGACAGACGCCGCCATACCTAGAAGCAGAATCTTTGACGTGAAAACATGTGAAATATTCACTGCCGAGGAGTAAGCTCGGCCTCGGGTCCCGCACGACTGGACGTTCTGAAGGAGAAACTCAAGAGGGGCCGAGGGGCGGCGGCGGAGTGGACGCTTCAAGAACGCCTTTGCACCCGGGCCTGCGATGCGGGAACGTCCACCATCACTCCGCACCATGCTGCTGGGGTCTGAGACCCTAACCCTCCGGCTCTGAGCGCTAGCGGCGAAGGGAAAGCGCTCTGGTAGGTAGGGAGCGCGTGGAGCCGGAGGGAAGTGTCTGGGTGCCGAGGACTCAAATTCCAGCCCATACCAGCTCCCGACCTCGAGCCCAGCGAGACACCTCGCGCCAAGGCTTCAGCAAAACCCAAGCATCACAAAGGAAGGTCACCCGGTGAGAAAAGCCCCGGCTTGCCGCCGCCTGAGTGGCTTCTCCGATCCTTCCCCTAACCCTAACTCAGCCCTTCTGCTTCCTGCTTAGCTGGTGTGAAAGGAATCCTAGAAACACTCATACAAGCCTGAGCATTATCTGGAACGGCCCCTAAAGACAGAAATGCAACAGTGATCGCTTAACCTCCTTCACTCTTGCTTGCTCCATGAGGCTGGCACTGAATCATCACCAACGTGAACGCCCAACGCATCAACTCAGCGAAAAGGACGCTGGCAAAGCTGGAAGATAAAAGGAGTTCTACTTAGCCCTGCCCTCTCTCCCCAGCTCTATTGTTGTTAGTTGCCATCGAGTTGGTTCGGACTCGACCTTGTTGTTAGGGGCCATCGAGTCAATACCTACTCATAGCGACCCTATGTAAAACAAAACAAAACACTGCCTGGTCCTGGGCCAACCTCACAGTTGTTGCCATGTTTGAGCCCATCGATGCTGCCACTTTGCCAATCCATCTCACTGGGGGTCTTCCTCTTTTTCTCTGACTCTCCACCCTACCAAATATGAAACCCTTCTCCAGTGACTAGTCCCTCCTGACAATATGTCCGAAGTATGAGAGACCAAGACTGGCCATCCTGGCCTCCAAGGAACACTGTGGCTTGCACTTCTTCCAACACAGATCTGTTGGTTCTTTTGGCAGCCCATGGCACTTTCAATATTCTCCTCTAGCACCATAACTCAAAAGCATCGATTCTTCTATAGTCTTCCTTATTCACTGTCCAGCTTTCACATGCATATGAAGAGATTGAAAATACCATGGTCAGGGGCACCTTAGTCCTCAAGCTGACATCTTTGCCCTTCAACACTTTAAAAAGGTCTTGTTGCAGCAGATTTGCCTAATGCAATACGACCTTTGATTTCTTGACTGCTGCTTCCATGAGTGTTGATAGTTGATCCAAGAAGAATGAAGTCCTTGACAACTTCAATCTTTTCTCCATTGATAAGAATGTTGTTTATTGGTCCAGCAGTGAGAATTTTTGTTTTCTTTACACTGAGATGCAATTCATACTGAATGAAGACTGTGATCTTTGATTTTCATCAGTAAATAAGTCCTCTTCACTTTCAGCAAGCATGGTTGTATCATCTGCATATCGCAGGTTGTGAATGAGTCTTCCTCCAATCCTGATGCCATGTTTTTCTTCATAGAACCCAGCTTCTCAGATAATTTGCTCAGCATACAGTTTAAATAAGTATGGTGAAAGAATACACCCCCTTGCAAACCTTTCTTAATTTTAAACCATTCAGTGTTCCCATGTTCCATTCGAACAACTGTCTCTTGGTCTGTGTACAGATTCCTCATGAGCACAATTAAGTGTTCTGGAATACTCATACTTCACAATGTTGTCCATAGCTTGTCATGATCCACACAATCAAAAGCCTTTGCGCAGCCAATAAAGCACAGGTAACCATTTTTCTGGTATCCTCTGCTTTCAGCTAAGATCCATCGGACATCAGCAATGATATCCCTTGTTCCACGTTCTCTTCTGAATCCAGCTTGAACCTCTGGAAGTTCTCTAGCATAAACATCGCATAAACATCTATATCTTAGGCATTAGTGAGCTGAAATGGACTGGTATTGGCCATTTTGAATCTGACAAACACATGGTTTACTATGCCAGAAATGACACATTGAGGAAGAATGGTGTTGCATTCATTGTCAAAAAGAACATATCCCTATCAGTCATGAGATACAACACTGTCTGTGATAGGATAATATCCATGTGCCTACAGGGAAGACCAGTTAATGCCACTATTATTTAAATTTATGTACCAATCACTAAAGCCAGTGAGGATGAAATAGAAGAATTCTACCAACTTCTTCAATCTGAAATTGATCAAACATGCAATCAAGGTGTATTGATCATTAGTGGTGATTGGAATGCAAAGGCTGGGAGCAAAGAGGAAGGATCAGTAGTTGGAAAATATGGCCTTGGTGATAGAAATGATTCTGGAAATCGCATGATAGAATTCTGCAAAACCAATGATTTGTTCATTTCTAATACCTTCTTTAGACAGCATAAGAGAAGACTATACACATGGACCTCACCAGATGGAATACACAGAAATCAAATTAACTACATCTGCGGAAAGATACGATGGAAAAGCTCCATATCATCAGTGAAAACAAGGCCAGGGGCAGATTGTGGAACAGATCATCAATTGCTCATATGCAAACTCAAATTGAAACTGAAAAAAATGAAAACAAGTCCATGGGAACCAAAATCTGACCTTGAATATATCCCACCTGAATTTACGGATCATCTGAAGAACAGACTTGATACATTAAACACTAAAGACCAAAGACCAGCAGTATTGTAGGATGACATCAAGAATATCATACATGAAGAAAGCAAAAAGTCATTAAGAAGACAAGAAAGAAGGAAAAGGTCAAAATGGATGTCAGAAGAGACACTGAAACTCGTTCTCCAGCATAGAGATGCTAAAGCAAATGGAAGAAATGAGGAGGTCCAAGAGCAAACAGAAAATTTCAAAGATCAGCCCGAAAAGACAAAGTCAAATATTACAACAAAATGTGCAAAGATCTGGAATCAGAAAACCGAAAAGGAAGAACACGGTCAGCATTTCTCAAGTTGGGGGAACTGAAGAAAAAATTCAAGCCTCGACTTTTGTTACTGAAAGATTCTCTGGGCAATTTATTGAATGATGCAGAAAGCATCAAGAGAAGATGGAAGGAATACACAGAGTCACTATACCAAAAGGAAATGGTTGATGTTCAACCACTTCAAGAGGTAACATATGATCAAGAGCCAATGATACTGAAGGAGGAAGTCTAAGGTGCACTGAAGGAATTGGCAAAGAACAAGGCACCAGGAATTGATGGAATAAAAGTGGAAATCTTTCAAGAAAGTGAGGCAGCACAGGAGCCACTCACTCATCTATGCCAAGAAATTTGGACGACAACTATCTGGCCAATTGATTGGAAGAGATCGGTATTTGTCCCCATCCCAATGTAATACGGAAATCATCAGACAATCTCTTTGATATCCCATGCTAGTAAAGTTTTCCTAAAGGTAATACAGAAACAGCTGCAAGCATTTAATAGTGACCTTATGCACAACAAAACGAAACACTGCCTGGTTCTTTGCCAACCTCACGATTGTTACGTTTGAACGCATTGCTGCTGCCACTGCGCCAATTCATCTCATTGGGGGCCTTCTCTTTTTCGCTGACCCTGCACTTTCCCAAACATGATATTTTTCTCCAGGAACTGGTTCCTCCTGAAAACATGTCCAAAGTATGAGATATGAAGTCTTGTCATCCTGGCTTCTAAGGGGCATTCTTGCTGTACTTTCAACATAGATTTGTTTATTCTTCTGGCAGTCCATGGTACTTTCAATATTCTCCTCCAACACCATAACTCAAATGCATCAGTTTTTCTGTGGTCTTCCTTATTCATTGTCCCACTTTTACATACATATGAGGCTATATTGAGATACTATGCCTTCGGTGAGGCATACCACCATGGACCTCATACTGGCGTCTTTGCTCTTGAACACTTTAAAGAGATCTTGCGCAGCATGTTTGCCTAGTGTAATATGT